ATGGGATGGACCGCGGTCTGTTCTGAAAGTTTTTGACACCAACAGCCCTCCATAATAACGTCTCTCCGTGTTGAGTGACACCTGCTGGAGGTTACGAAAGTATTTTAAGGGATGATAAATACATAAACAAACAGCCCAAATATATAGAAAACATACATATTTGATAAAACGCTTTAAAAAAATATTCAGTTTTTTTATTTTAGGAACTTAAGCAGGGGAAATTTATGCGCATAACAAAATCTTGTCAACTGAATCATTTGGCGTTTCAATCGTTTGAATCGATTCAGTCGTTTGATTCAATAACTTTTAAACAAAAATGCTGTATTAAAAATACTAAATTAAAAGTGAATAGGCTTCTTTTAAAACCAACTAAATAAACAATTACAAATAAGATTTTGTACATAATTAAATAAAACGAACTAAACCATTTTGACGTGACGGAGCTTTTCAACCGAACCATTTGGCGGTTTGTTTCGCCTCTCGTGTTCACGTGCTTGCGAATTGTTTTTACAAAAGCGTTTATTTGTTTTTATCTGTTGTAAGGCCTTGAACCATACTACAATTTTATAAAGTGTTTTTTTATTCTATAATTTTGAAGAAAAGAGGTTTTTCCGCTTGTTTTTTAAACGGTCCCTGCCGAGAGATTGAAATAACGTTCGCACAACGGAAGATAGTTAAAAAACGGTAGGTTTTAATAATGTTTTGTCAGTTACTTAAATTATTGTTAAAACTTGATCATAGGTGCTGTGTGATCATATGTGGAAACAAAAAGTTTACATTAATTTTGATTATTTTAAACCTTTTAATGTGTGTTTGGTTCTGGGATGTGATTCAACAGCAGTGGTTTTCTTAATCTGTTCAATATTGATTATTGCCATAAAACACTGTTGGATTTTTAGACCTTAATTATATAGCCTTTCGCAAGTATTCATAGTTTTTTTTACATACAGTGAGGGAAAGGCATTTTTGACAACCACCCGATGAATCCATTGCCACCTCCTCATCCGTTAAACATGGAGCAGGAACCATTATTGTATGGGGGTCTCGAACTTCTTAGGGTTCCTCCACCATAACAATGACCCAAAACACATAACTAGGGCACCTTTCTCCAGACCTTAATTCAATAAAATTACAACAAGAAACTGTACTTTTAAAACCCTGTTTAAAAGTAACATTAATATTGTTGAATTAAATTAAATCAGATTTATTAAGAAGTTGATAGAAACTAATAACTTTCCCTGCTTCTCTGCTGTCCTGTATGCTACAGGATGGCACAGATTGAAGAGTGCTCCCTCCACTGATGCAGGGTGGCTGTAGGGTGTGAGCAGCACCTCCTGCCAGGCCGGGTGTTTCGGAGCGCTGTGTACATTTGTGTCTGCACCTCCAGCGAGCTGCTCCTCTGCTGCCGGTGCAGGAGGATCCGGTACACCCCCGTCAGCGAGCCATTATTTAAGTTATTCATCAGCTGAACCTCCCCAATGCCCAGCTCCTCCAGCGCCTGCTTCACTTTCCGCTGCTCTGCCGAAAGCATCTCTGTGTCCGCATCGAGAAGCTGATCTGGGGTGGATGGCATGGGTGTGTACGGCTTTGGGTATTCGATCCCCCGCAGCCAAACACTGGACATAATCTGTGCCAGAGAGATTCGATCAGAGGGCACAAGCCTCAGCGCAGCCTTTATAAGAACCTGGCACTGTTCTGGAACGAATGATGGGATGCTGTAGGAGCCATGAAGGATACCAAAGCGTAAGCGCCTCAGATTCGAACCGGTAAACGGGAAGTGCCCGGTCACCATGAAGTAGAGCAGGACCCCCAGTGCCCAGATGTCCACCAGGGGGCCAGAATAGCCCTTGTCACGGAAGAGCTCAGGTGCGGCGTAAGGGGGCGAGCCGCAGAAAGTGGTGAGGACGTCTGTGGGCTTGCATTGAACGCTGAAGCCAAAGTCGCCCACCTTGATGCAGTAGGTGCTGGTGTAGAAGATGTTCTCGGCCTTCAGGTCTCGGTGGACGATGTTGTTGTCATGCTGAAGGTAAAAAAAGGATCGCTTTAGTCGAATTAAACATCCATTAAACCTCCACATTGCTCTACCACTAGCCCACCATAGCATTAGAGAAGGAGATCTGTTTTTGTGCAAGAACTTTAGCAGTTTTTGTACTGGCCCTTGATCTGAGGAACAGCTGAATGGTTTTGATAATGGTAAAACTCTACTTACCTTCTCGGTTTGGGAGATGGAGAATGAGTATCCAGTGGAGCGTTCCTTTAAAGAAGCTCTACTTGTTTGATAAGTAGCCACTTCAAACGTGTTAAAGCAAAACAAAATCACATTTCTGCTTCTCACCATGTGTTTGACTGCAGACAGAATCTGAGAGAAGACCAGTCTGCTCTCCAAATCTGACAGACGTCCCCTGGTGGCGATTCGGGAGAACAGTTCTCCTCCTGAAGCGTACTCCATCACCAGATGCACCCTGCGGATAGTCTCCACCACCTCATAGAGGCGCACAATGTTGGGGTGCGAGAGCTTCTCCATGGATCGGATCTCAGAGAAGATGAGCTTCTGAGAGCGCTTGTCCAAACTGAGCTTGTCCAGGATCTTCACTGCAACCCTTTCTGAGAGGAACAGAGGACATTTCCTGCTGTCAGCCTTGTGAAGAAAAAGGTATCGTTTTTGATTAAATATTACCATTAAATAAACCATTTCATATTTTATCACTCAAGGTTGGATTCATTGACATTTGCCACAGTTATTAGCATTTTTTTTTTCGTCTTGATGAGTTTCTTCATGATGTGTTGGCAAATGTGCAAGCCAAATTTTTCATCTTTGACTTCTAAAAATGACATTCTAAAAGGAACCTGCTCCAACCCATTGGGGGCAGTATGCTGAAACTCTGCATGCAGCCACAGATCATGGTTATCATTACATCCACCAAGTTTGGTCTTGATGCACTAAAGGGTTTTAAGGGTCTTATGACCACTCTGACTAGAGTTGATGAGCGATATAGGAAGAGTTACGAAAGTATGTTTTGAAGTGACAAAGGTGTAGCCGTGTGAAAGTGAAGATATGGAAAACTGGAAAAGAAGTAGATTCCCGGAAACAGCCCAAAGGAAAAATACTAGTAGATTAGCAGATTCACAGATCAGTGAATTCCTGCACATTTAACAGAACGAAAACATGATTTACAAACTCGACAGAGGGATGAACCCACACCAGAAATCAGAGGAGCAGGAAATGAGAATCTGAAGAAGTTACGAGACAATTTTAATAAACTCCTTACAGTAACGTGACCAATGTATTTGAAATATTGTATAGCAACAAAACCCTCATCATTGAGGATCCCTTAAACATGTTCAACCAGACTAAACAAAACTTCTGAAGAGAAAGTCTCTCTCACCTCTGGTCAGGACATGAATGCCCAGTTTCACCGTGGAGAAGTTTCCGCTGCCGATTTCCCCGCGGAGCTTGTAGAAGCCGATGCGTTTGCCGGAACCGACCTCATCCAGGAGCTTGTCGTCGTGCGTGAGCTCGTAGACGGCTCTTTCGAAAGGTGTCATCTTCTTGCAGATTTCACGACTCGCTTCAGCTGCTTCGTTCTAGGGAAAGCGTCAGAAAGCAAACCTCTGTTTAACAAAATCACATTTCTGGAATCTGAAGGAAACCATAAACGAGGGAAACGGTTAATCCACTGGATTATAAAAGTGCACTGATGGAAAATTATTCAATGTATTGTTTTTCTTGTTGAAGTTTGTCGTCGGCTCGTTCTTCTGAAGAGTTGTGAATAAATATTCAAGCTCAACCAGATCAGCCGCCATTCAGTCACTGCATTAAATCTAGTAAAGATTTTACAAATATTTACATATGGACCTCTGCTTTTCAAACCAATCAGCAGCTTGTATCATGAGAAGTGCTCACAGAAGAGGTTTCAGCTATTCCCAGAACACCACACCGTTCATCGGCATCTTAAGAATGACTTGCAAGTGGTGACTGTGTTTTTGAGTCGGTCACAAAGAGGTTTACCGGGACGGATTACATCTTGGATAACTTCCATTTCATTAGCCTTTAAGATGTGGCTAAGTTCTAAATCCCCTTCTCATCACGTCTTTCTCAGTCGTAGTGATCAGCTCTTTAAAAACAGATGAAATGATCAAGGAGAAAATAATAATAATAGAGAAAAATCCCCAGATCTCACCTCTGCAGTGACTCTGATCACAGATCCATCCCTCTTTTTCTTCTCCTCCATCATTTGGTCGATCTCCATCCAGGCCGGCCGAGGAGAGAGCTCTTCGTGATGAGACGTGATCTTCTGCTGGGCCAGCTTCCCTGTTTGGTGGAAGAGAACGGTTATTGTGTGTGTTCCAGCAAACGTTTCGACAGGAACATGTTCCCTCACAGCATTTTTCGACTTGCGGGTTTGTCTGTATCGGGCTGTTTTTGAGCGCTTCACTGTATCGATGACGCTTTTCGATAAGTGAACACATTTCTCTTTATATTGTGAAATAAAAGTCAGGGGTGAGACTCGGGACTCTCATTTCTTAGAAGTTAAAACAGTCGCTGAATTTGCCGTTTTCTCTCCTGGAAGAATAAAGAGACCACGCGTTGGTGTGGTTCGGTGAATCCAGTGGTCAACTCGAACTTGATGGATGACACTGGCCGGTGATGCTGCTTCACTCCTGATTAAACACCCGGAAACATCCACTTCCCAGAGGATTTGGATAAAGCTTCTGCTGAACGCAAACCTAATAAATCTGGTCTTTCTTCCTTCAATATAAACTATTTTAAAGAATAAGATTATTTTGTTTATTTTGGGAAGTTACCAAATATTGTGAGGCGAGAGCAAAGAGTTACCAAGTGATAATCCCCCCCACCTCTGGAACCTGACTGAAAGTTACATGGTACCAATCCTGACGACACTTCCCTTCCTTTCCTGGAAGTTTAAAATAATCTCTCCTTTAAATTAAACGGTACATTTATGCATTTAGCAAAAAGCGACTTACATTTCATCAGTTCTCGCTTTCCCTGGGGTTTGAACCTACAACCTTGACGTTGCTAGCGCTATGCTCTGATGACTAAGCCACAGGAAAGCTTATTAATATAATAATATAGCTTTTTAAAATACGTATTTTATACGCACTTTTATCAAACAGTATCTGCATCACTGACCGCTCTCGTTTAAATAACGTCACAATGTTTTATTTAAATCATTTTAATTACAAATGATTTAAACCCAGAGCGACTGTAATTCAGCAGCAGCAGCAGCAGGTACAAACCAGCAACAACACAGAGACGACCGGCGCTTGCAGCTCTGCTCTTCAATCTGTGATGTCCATCTCCATCTCCATCTCTGCTGTGGAGAAACTCCAGCTCTGGGATGGAGATGGCATCACAGCCAGCTGCGGAAGAAGCACCAGATCCACAAAGTTTCGAGCCTTGGATTTAGTTCAAACTGCGATCCTTTGAGCAAAAACAAAGTCTCTCACACTCACAGAGAAAGCGTCCTCTCCCTTTCCTCCCGGTCTTCACCGGTAGAGTGCTGCTCCTCGTAGCTTGCATCTCCTGATCCGAACGGTCCAAAGGTGGTGTTGTTTTAAACTAGTGAAGGAACTTTCCCTCTCCACACTGCTGGAGTAATCCTGTCTCACACACTCACCTACAGACAGGTGACTCAGCTCTGACCCCTCCGCTCCTGAAGATTAGGCGTCCAGCTGTCGGCCGGTGGCAGCACGTGCTGGAGGAATGTAGGTTTGTGTGTCTCGGGTCATCATTTTCACTGTTACAAGATGCATAACGTGAGCTGATTATCTCCGTCTGTCCCTTAGGCAGGGAACCAGACGTCTGGCTCGGGGAGCTCTCTGTCTCTGTCTGTCTGTCTCGGATCATTTCATTATTTAGAGGATTCTTCTGTAATCTACAGACAGAATAATTCACATCTGGGGGGGGGAGCTGAAAGCAAACTGTGATTGATTGGTTTTGGGATTAATTGATCAGATTATTGGAATAATCCGCTCTGAGATCACTGCAGCCATTCACTCTGTTGTGATCAGCCTTTGTTCTGATGGAGGTGAACTCAGCTTTCTTTCTCTTTTGATCATTTCAACAGTTTCCAGTCTCCAAAGTGTTCAAAAGGCTAAAAACATTGTGTTTGAGACGACTCCAATTTATGTTTTTAAAACATATTTCTTTCATTCAAAAAAACTGGATGCCATATTTTTCGAATGGATTTTCTTGTAGGAAATGTAAAAAATTCAATCGAATTCCACTATGAAATAAATATATTCCACTATGAAAAAATGCAAACATTGTACTCAGTTTTTTTTTTATCTTTGAATTAAAAAAACAGCAGAAAAGTTAGTTTTCACTAATCAAAGTTGTAAAAAAGTAATACAAAGCTAAGAGACTTGACTCCAATCTGAAAATCTTCTTCAGCTGGAGTTTTAAAGTTGTGTGTGTTTTTTTTGTTTTGTTTGCTTTTTAGTCTAAAAGCTCTCCAGAGTTATGCAAACTGCTTCAGGAAAATCGTCCCACATAAACCAAGAAATCCAGAACAAATTAAGTTTTGTTTTAACATTTGTGCATTTGTGATTTTTATAGTTGAGATGATCAAATGTCTTAGTTTCAGGGATGGAATTTCCTGTTAAGATATAAACGATCTAAACAAACACTAAAAAAAACACATTCCCGTAAACATTTTGATCTTTTAAACTCTTTCAAACTGCAAAGAATCTGGCAATATTTCAACACAAACCCCGTAAAACAAAGGATATTATTTGCAAATGTAAGGGTCTCCTGAGGGCGGGCGTTGGTGTTTGAAGCGGAGGTGCTAAACAGCTTCCTGCTGAGATTAAACATGATCAATACCTTTGATTAGTGCTTCATTAGCGAGACGACGAGCTCTTTGATCTGCAGCAGGATTTAGATGGAAATGTGCTTCTCTCGGCGGAGGATAAATATCCAGAGGAGAGCAGCGCGGCCGAGGCTCAGAGCTCACCCCGAGTCTGAGAGAATGGATTTGATCTCATCGTTTGTGTTCCTCCTGCTCTGCTCCGTGCAGCAGATCCGTGAGTGCTGCTTGCTTCTCTCTTCTGTGTGTTTAAAGTGTGGGATTTCTTTTCATGTGAATTCACGATTGTAGCACATTTGAAACTTTGCTCAAACAAAGAGCAGCTTCAGATAGAGTTGACGTTTCATTTGTTTTTTTGGGGAAGATTGTAGTATTTGTAACCAAGAATTTAAAAAAAATGATTAGCTCTCTCGTGTTAATATTGAACACTGAGAAAATGCTAGCAGATCTCCCAAACTCCTCCAGATTTCTTTTGGATCACTTTGATCATTTCTTCAGTGAGGTGTGCTTTAGGTCATTGTCCTGCTGGAAGAATGTTGACATTTTACGCCTTTGATTATTGATCCACACGGAATGTTGTTTTCTGGGCTTGGACTAATTCACATATTTGTTTTCTGTAGTTTCGGCGGTTTTGGTGAAAAACTCTGAGTCCAGGAACTTGTTCACAGAGAGAGTTTGCTGCAGACGCCAGAGTCACCTCGTCTACATCGGGAAAGGTCTGTCACTGATGTTTTTCATGAAGTTTGGATGTGTATTTCAGGGGCAGCCGACTCTTTCCTGTTTATTATGTTTTAAAAGAGAAAAGGGTTTGGTCAGAATTTGTACTTATTTATGGTTTGTCTCCGAAGCAAACGGAACTATTATGAAGGAACGCTCTGCTGCTGCTAGCCTGAGCTGCTAGTTCTCGATCCTCCTCTAATGTTTCATTCTACTGTGCTGCTTCAGATATCTCTGGCAACCCTGTGAATGTTGACGTGGGCGTGTGCAGAAGACACTGTGGCCAATCAGCTCGCTCTGTGGAGGCGGGGCTTCGGCTGCTGGATCACCTGCTGAACAAGAAGGTAATGCAGTCCCGCTCCTCACCAGCAGATGGAGACAGACCCAGATCAAATACGAACTCTGTGGAAATAGATCTGGTTTTATTCACATTTTCCAAACATTTAGTTAAAGCTTTACTCTAAATATTACAGACATCTTCAACTTCTAGCGTCGAAGCCGCAGATACCAAGAGATTATAAAAAAATAAATCAAATACAGATCGAGGCGTTTTGAGTTTGATTATAATAAGCTTTAATGTTTTTAACATCTTAAAGAATTCCATTATACTTCAGAGAACGAGGGTTCTATGTGTTTGTATACTCTATACTGGTGTCACGGCGGAAACTTGTTATGAATTACAAACCCATTTCTATAAGCATGAAAATAAAGAACAAACTACTGATTGCTTTGGTCCCAATCTGAAAGGGGCTTTGAATAAAAGAATCTGTTAAAGATATAAATATAAACGCGCTGGATCTTAGGGAAGGCTGGGTTATAGATCCACTGGAACGCTCGCTAAACGAAGATTTCAGATTTTACTTCTAAAGGTTTCAGCTTTCTTTGTTCTTTTATTATTGATATATTTTAACTTTCTTTCTTTTTGAGACTTTACTGTTTTTTTTTTTTTTTGTTTTTGTTTTTTTTTGTGATGACGTTTGAACAAACAATAAATCTGACGTAGACGTACACTTTTACATCCCAGCAGAGATCTTCCTCCTCGCTCTCCGCCGGCTCCCCGTCCTGCGGTCCGAGCCGCAGCTGTGAGGCGTCCGGCGTCCGTGTGGAGAGCGTGATGCTGCTGGACGGCCGGCGAGAGCTGGAGATCATCCAGGACTGTCACTGCGAGGTGCAGCCGAGCCGCTGTGTGCGAGCGCCGTCTCTGAAGACCTTCCACAGCCAGACGTCCTTCGAGAGCGTCGTCGACGTGGGGAAATGCGTCGGATCTAAAGGAGCTCCAGGTGAAGTCTGCTGATACTGAATCGTCTTCCTCTGGAAGAGATCTGAGCTGATCTGCATGTTCATCACCTTGCAGAGGGGTTTTCCTGCGTTCCCACTAAGCTCGATTCCACACGGATCGAAAGCGGTTCGGATCAGCTGGAGCTGGTCCAGACGGTGGCTGAGTGCCGGCTGATGGAGGGCTGCTCCCGGACGCCGCACGCAGAGTTTCACTACGAGATGAGCTACAGCAGTGACGGAGTGCTGCTGGAGCGCCTCAAGGTGAGAAACTAGTTATATAAACGCGTTTCAAAGTCGAAATATGAACGAGCTTCTGCGAAACTCCTGAGGAAGCTACAGGGATTGCTTTACGAGTGCCACAATTACTTTTGATTAATTACCAAAGCAATATTTAATTTTGTTTTTAAAAGGCTCTTGATGTAAAGCTCTTTAAAAAAATCATTAATTTAATTGTTTTGCATTTAATCTGGTTTTATAATGCAGGGCCCGTAAAAAAATAGTAAAAATAGTAAAAACAATTCTGCTTCTAATTTCTATCAGCTTTATGAATCAAACATACAGCAAATAAAATAAAACCTATATCTTTATCTAGCTTTATAAATTAAATATCTACACTAACTCTGAAATAAAAAAAATAACTAGTTTTTAACGATTTTAAGTAACTAAAAATCATTTTTTTATTTAGCTTTAAAAGGTACAGATGCATCTTACAGTAGCATTGCGTTAAAATATTTTTATTTAGCTTTGAAAATGTAAAAAAATAACTTTAAAATGAAATGCATATGTTTAAGCCTTAAATTAAATGACTTTTGTGCAGGTTTAGAAGTATAAAAAAATATTGAAAAGTGTCAAAATAAAATACTTTAAAAACAACATTGTTTTTAAAATAAATAAATGATTACACGTTTTATCTGATAATTCCATTTAAATAAAACTAAAGTATTTATTATGCTTTAGAGTAAAAATTCTATGTTTATTTCGTGGATTCTATGTTTGTTTTCGTGGAATTAAGTTCTTAAAGCTTGTAGAGGAAACACTCACACTATTGTGAAACAGAGGAGAGTGAGTTTATTAGTTTACGGTTGAATTTAAATAACATTAAAGCTCTGCGTCTCACACCAGGAAGAGCAGGAAATCAGTCGTTTCCATCTCGGCTCTTTGTTAAGCTGCAGGATCATCGTCCTGGAGCATTTCCCCCGCAGTCACATTTCCATTTCAGATTTCTCTGATTGCACGACGTTAATCTCAAA